AGGGCTTAGAAGACACCTTACATCCGTATTTTAAAACTTTCTTCGAAGAGCAAATATAGTGAAATAGTCTAGTACATTTGTATTGCCAACAATATGTCATAATTGGCAATGTTACAATGTTTTTGTATTTATTGTATTGTTGGTTTGATGTTTTTTTAATGATGGGATGGGATCTAGATCTAGATAGATCTAGATCTCTAGATCTACTAAAGATCTTCACAATCACAATACACTTGATAATAACACTAATTATGAACATTAATTCTGTTGACAAAATATCTAGATATAGATCTAGTCTTGATTAGTACTAGATCTACGATAAAGGGGACGCTGACAGTAACATGCTCACTAACAATAAAATTGTCATTAAACAATTTGGATTGCCATCCAAAGCAAGCAAAAAAGAACAGTATAAGCCTTTTCTCCAATTTACACTAGAAAGAGATAAATAAATTGAGCTTATATTGAGGAAATGTATTATTTCTCACTTTAAGAATTCATCTCTGTGTTTGCATCAGTAGTGTGTACAACAACATGCTTTGTTTAGAGGACGTGCGAGTCTAACAAATACAAAAGATTGGAGAATGTGTCGGTTGCACATAAAATACATAGGCCTATTGTTCATGCTGCCAAAAACACAAAAATGCAGAAAAGGCCTCAAAATATTGGTTTACACATAAAAGCCAAATTAATGCAAAACAAAGTAAGCAAGAGTGGAACTGGCATATATGTTTCCTGAATATATGTTCAAAGTCATTTTCTGTGTGTTGGGAGTGTGATTTATAATGCATGAATGATAGGCTCATTCAGATGTGATAATGAAAAAAACGTGTGTCTACAGTCACAACAGAAAGAGTTCCATGGTGAGTGATCACTGGTCAAGGATTTCAAAGCTGTGTCCATTTTGAGAAAAATGTATCCCCATACCCTGGATCACATGTCGAGGGGATGGGCTTGTCCCCCTGTAATCCCCGCACACAGTAAACAAACACATATTTTTGAACACGAATAAGAAAAAATAAGTGGTCTTTTGTTACGGATCAAATTGAAGTCCTATTTCAATTCGATTAATTGATAAAAGTGCGTATTGCAATGCGTTGGCCACCCCTGCCCTATAGGCTTATGCTATTTAATAAATACATTCGTCAGACCTGGAATCTTTAATGCCCGCACACAGTAAACAAACATCCATTTTTGAACACGTATAAGAAAAATAAGTGGTGTCTTGTTACGGATCAAATCGAAGTCCTGTTACAATTCAATTAATTGATAAAAGCGTGTATCGCAAGGCATAGGCTAACCCAGCACTATTACGCTATTTTATAAATACATTCGTCAGATCTGGAATCTTTAATCTTTAATTTTTAATCCCCGCACACAGTAAACAAACACACGTTCATGAACACGTATAAAGAAATAAGTGGTCTCTTGTTACTGGTCAAATTGAAGTCTTGTTACAATTCAATAATTGATAATAGCGCGCATTGCAATTCATTGGCTAACTCAGCATTATACTCTATTTAATAATACATTCGTCAGATTTGGAACCTTAAATTATAATCATAATTATATGTGCCCGCACGTGGGAAGTGAAAGTGAAAGGAATTAAAAATACTTTCAAAAACAATTATGAAAGTAACATAATTAACGTAGGACTACATACATGTGCTTATAAAGGCCCAAAAAGGTGTATGGATGCTGAAATGAATGTTTCGGATGAAAATAATACGCTATCTCTACTACTGTAGCATGCGGTCAAAAATTTGATGCGCAACTTATTATCAAATATATAGGCTACTGAACTATCAAACACCTAGATCTAGATTCTCCTACTTTTACACAATGACTTAGATCTATATCAATTCGTCTTAACCGATGAGTATTTTTTTCAAACATTTGTACACATCTATAGGTTCTATATTATTCTAGAAATTTCTTTAAAGAAAATTCTTTAATAAATACTAGCCCAATATTTTAAAAAAAAATCCCAGTCAATGGTTTCTACAGATTTTTTAAAAGTTTATAGCTGGAGCTAAATCTCTTTTTAAAGCAAGTCCGTCCTTTTTTCTACTTCTGCTGGCGACATAAAGCTAATTATTGAATGCATGTTTTGAGAACATTAATTAGATCTAGTGAAAAAATATGTTCAGTGTAAAACACATTTCTTGTAACAAGTTTTGCTACTAAAAAAATTACGTAGGCCATATGCGTATGCAAAATGTGTGTGGGAAGCTAGATAGAAGTGCTCTGAACAATCCCATCCGTGTTACGATTTTTTTCACAGTTCTGTAGATCTTATATTTATAAACTCTCTCTGTCTGCTTTTTCTGTTGTTGCACCTAAAAACACAACAATTTAAAACCTTAATTCCAATCCCTAGGTTGCGCAGTGAATTCTGTTACTCAAAATTACAAACTGGACAGTAAATGTTCCACTTTTCACTCGTTTGTAAAAGCCGCTCTTGCTTTAAAAGCTATAGGGTTACTTCCGAAAACGATAAATCGTGCCCTCAAGACGCCATTGTTTTCGGTCTTCAATTCCTCACAGGTCACGTGGTACAGTTCCCGTTCTATAAGTGTAGAATTATGTGGGCTAGGCACACCGACATAACGAGAAGGTGGTTCGTTCGTTTATGTTGTTTTGTTTCTCCTCGAGAAATGAGTGCGAGAGAGAGAGAGGGGGGGGGGAGACTGAGAGAGAGAGAGGGAGGGAGAGACTGAGAGAGAGACAGAGAGAGAGAGAGGGAGAGAGGGAGAGAGAGAGGGAGAGAGAGTGAGATAA